GTCAGTACGGCGCCTTTTACGAAGAACGTCGGCCAGTTGATCATAGAACTCATTTTTAACTGACTCCGGGCTGCAATCTGTGGGAGCGTACGCTGCGACAATGAATAGACAGCGTCTGCTGGCTTCGCGCATGGACAGTCGCACTGAAGTTTCAAGTCGGATCGCGCATAGTCGACTGTTGACAGGGATCCAGTATAGTAGCGCGGTCTCAGCACGTGTGCTCAACGTAATCCACACGCCAGCATAACCAACGGTTTCGGCAGTTGAGTTTCCAGATAGGCGCAAAGTGAAAATGCCAGTGGGATTCGCAGGCGGTGAAACTAGTCGCAGCGTCGTGCTAGAGTCTTGTAAACGGGTCTCGCTGTGGCAGCAGACATCAATGGCGGTAGTTTCTAGAGTGCGAGCAAGGGCTGCCTGTGATCCAATCTACATCAGCGTCCGAATGTTGAAGGTTGACAGCTTGAATCGAGGACGCGGCGCTAGAAATGGCTTGTCAATACGACCTAGCGCATTTTCGGACCTAGTCTTCTGATCCGCATGGCGAGAACGTTCTCCCAAGGCGACACCATGTTATGAACTCGAAAACGGAGAGGGAAGACCAAGAATGGGAGTTGAATAAACGTGGAATAAAGTGATTAAACGGTGGTGCGGTACAAGTTGGTTTGGCAGGTTCAGCCGCCAGCACCTCGGCCAATGAGAGCAGTTAGGACGAGAGCGAGCGAAGAATTATTGAGACATGGATCCATAGGTTGTGTGGGCACAGTACTTTCCGGTTGCTCAGGCCGAGGAAGAGGATCGACTTTGGGGACCCCACCCAGAGCGTTGAGTCGTAAAGACCTACCCCGCAAGGCAGTGGGGCGATTGACGTATACCGTGACCGTTGGGAGCCGGCTCTCTAGGTGAACGGCTCGAGTAAAGGCAAACTACTCAGGGCGTCCAAAGAGCCCCAGTGAAGCAGCAAGGACTACCGAGTTCTCCACGAAGCACGAAGGCCGTTGATAGCCGGGTAGCTCATACACCTTCATAGAAGCCGGTGGCCATCGAGGTAGTTCATCCGCCCTCCGTTAAATACTCACTTCTGTGACCAGAAGTGAGTGGTCAGTGAACCTACAGCCGGTCACATTGGCTTTGACACAGCGTCTTGCGAGCTCTTGTGGTATTTAATGAGAGACCAAGTGACCATCCCAGAACCTCCTACGCTCTAGGATGCTGCCGCTGATTGTCCGCGACTGCTTATTCATCATGTTTATTATTCATCATCATCTGTTTATTCATTCATTACTGCGTACATCGAAGATTTATTCACAGTTATCTTCACAACCTGGGGACGCGTCCGGTGGCATACAGCTCCGCTGAACCAACCCGTAGTCAGATCACTTCCGGGGCTCAACTGGCATGCATCTGTTGCATTTTCTTCTTTTTTCCTTTTCTGCATTGCGCAACAGTAGCTGTGTTTTTCGCCTCTAGCTAACTTATAATACTTGTGGTGACTGCGTCATTTACGGGAACAGTGTTCTAAGTGACTACTTGGCTGAAAATGTACACATTGCATCCCTGGAGGATTAAAGTGAATTTAATTCTCATTCACTGTATTCTGACGCAGAACACTAGTTCGGAATTGTCTTGGACTCCTAGTCCCGCCAAGTTACCTCGTCTCCGCGGTCGTTTCAATAAGCTGATTTGCAACAGAATTAAGATATAATTGCTTTAGCAGCTTACATGCCATGTCGATTGGTGGCGTTTTGCAAAGAAACTGGTTGCTTCGTAGACCTATGCACGTTCATAACATGCGTGATAGCGGAGGATGAGCGGCGATATGTCGGAGTTAGGTCTCTGTTGTGGCGGTCGCTGCCATCACCCGTGGTTCGGGGGCATAAGTCGCTGACCCGTAAGAGTCAGGTCATGGGTTCGAATCCAGCAGGATTCGGTAGGTGCGCGCTACTGACGAGTTCCAATTGGACGACACGGCCGTCTAGTACTTTCCTGGGTGTATAGTGGTTATCTGGCTGAGTCTAGCTGCGACGAATCTTTTCCAAGAACACCACAAATCATCTTATTGCTCACTAGTAAGATATAAACCGGTTTGTCACATCGAATTATCGAACGCCGGAACTCGCCTCCAGTGCATGCTCTGCCGTAGAATCAGACCTTAGAGCTTGGCGCACCTGTGATATCCCTGATTGTTTCACGGACGCATTTGCTCTTTGGACTTTTGGTTCGGATCAGCTAGGAGAGTTTGCAGTAGGTAGCCACCGCTCTGACCTCTTAGCTACTGAGCGCCTAGGTGGTCCATCAGCTAAGTTGTTAGCACCGACTGGTGGCCTAGTGGATATGGCGTAATTAGCACGGTTCTACGTAAGGGCGGGCGCCTTTGCAATAGGCGTATCCCGCATGCGATTGTTAATGGTCGAATGGCAATGAGGCGCCTATACGGCGTGCCAGCATGCTGCTGAAACCCCTCTCGTTAGCTCGTGCCTAGTGATCACTCTGATCACATTTTGCTGGGTGCCATTTAAGGTTTTCTTCTAAACTCAAATAGATCCACAAACCTCTTGTATATTCATTGTCTGGTGCTGTGGTTCCCCCGTTGTGCACCTGTGCTGAAGCACTAATCTGCATCCCGATGCTTTTAGAGCACTTGGGAGATGGTTTCTTGTGAATGGCGTCCTGGTCGTTTTACCTAGCTGTGGGCTGAGATAACTTCTTTGTGCAAGTCGAGGGAAACATTTGGTACGTTTCCCGACAAACTTCATGGGATGTCGGCATCGTACCACAACATGATCATATTTAACATCTTTAGAACGAGGGACTATGAAGAGAGGCATCATCACTCCTGGAGATTATGGCGACGTAATCTGTTTGTATTCATTGCTAGCCACCTACAGTAAGACGCCAAGTAACAGATCAGCAACCACTGTACCTGAAACGTACTATCAAGAAACAGTAGACACTGGGCGCATAGTTGCAACAGCGTTTACCATTGTCCGCGCGTTCGAAGTTAGGCCAAAACATCCCACCCGGTTGAGTTTCTGACATGTTCAGACGAAGTGCCGTTACGTTCATACCCCATGCAACTAGGACGATATCTGAACTAGGAACACTGCCGACTGGCGTGTTGGTATTGTGGGGAAAAGCATCCTTGGTTGTTTTAGGACTGCGCTGTTCTCACCAGACGAGTCAATCGGTTAAAACTTGCGCATCCAATCGACTTAACAACAACAACAACGATAATAATAATAATAACACCTGTCCTCGGTTTCTTCAGATAATACCAGCCACCTCTGACTTATCCCACCAAGGTTTGTGGTCATTATCTTCTGGAACTCAGCAAAACGGAACGGTATATGAGTCTTCGAAAAATGCGGTCGGTTTCGCGTCCCTATCTTCGCAGTACGCGCGTCATCCATGCTGCAATGGAGCATATTTACATGGCCACTTAGTGGGTTGCATTATCACTGGTATCCAGTGGAAATTATATGTTTGTGACACTCAGGCCATATGTGACACACAGTGTGCTCCTTGTGTTTCTGCTCCGTGAAGGAGATCCGCGATGCAGTTTAGCGGGTGGTCGAAAAGATTGTGCGCTTGCGTTTTAATCCTGAGGTCGCCGTTTCGAAACCGCGTAACTGCGTGTGAACTCACGACTGTTGGTGGCGGCGAGGCGTTAGTAAGGTGGGCCGGCGTACTGCTGATGCCTTCCTTACGCAACGTAATGATTCAGGTGTCTGGTTTGCAACCTATGCTTTCTAAGTTTCCAGACCCCAGACTCCTTCGTGGATTTGGCCACCACATGCACTATCACAACTCGCGTTATATTGCTTGTGGCTGCATTACAGCGAAGCACTGGCACATGGTACTTGTTTACTGTGGACACCTTTCTTATCTAACGTGCTGCCATCGGGATAACACTTGGTGGAACCATACATGTTGCATGCTTACGTCTTCCGAGACGTTTGGCTCATCCCGGTTTACTTCTCTGTCAGGTGGTCCCTCACTGCTAGATACTGAAGGACCAACGCTATTCGGACTTGCTCCTGTTGTGGTGTTTACATACCAGTGGGTTATCCAGCCGGCATCCTCACCCCACTCGCAGTCTTCAGCCGTCCGAGTCTTAGCGAACTCGGCGATTTCATTACCATAGCGACCGGATTGTATATCGGCGTTGCCTTATGTTCCGATCCAAGAGCCTTCGTACATTTTGGCATCCGATTCTCAAATTCTTCGGCGACAACGTGCGATTTCGATGAGTGGATGATGAGTTGAGGAGTTCGGATCTAGATTTCAGTTAGTAGGATGAACTAGTTGAAGGGCTAACGGTGGGGCAATGTAGAGAGGAATATGATGAAGAACTGAGGGTTGTGCCAGTGACGACATGCTTTTCTTTGTCCATCTTACCGTGTGCAATAAATAAGGTAACCCTTTCCTCCAACTGTGTGACGACCGATGCCTCATTAGCTTATTTGTAGCTGAGATCTCCATGTTTAGTAGTGAACGCCCATACCTGAACTAATTGGATTTCCACCCCAAGACCTTGGTACTGTGCGTTCCCAAATTGCGACTTTAACTGCGCTATTATCACCTCAACCTACACCGTTACATTCTAGCTGTGGACTAAAATAAAGCTTTGCCTGACTTCAACTCAGCATTTGTCACGATAAGACATTACTTGGATTGATAGCCACAGAAGAACAACAGCGGGTCCTTAGTCTATCGTGAATTTTCCGCTGCAGAGGTCGGTGAGCCTGTGTTGTCCTACCTCACCTGTGCCATGTGAAGTATTGAAATAATTTATTGTTGTGTACCGTGCAGTTCGGTACTTTGTGTCAGATTACCTCTCTTGTGAATGTGTTTTGTTAAAGGATAGACTGGGGATACTTGTCTATAGAGGTCGTAGATCGTATTTATCTCTCCTATTTTGAACACCCTTCGCTTTCAATGGTAGCCTTTTTCAAGTATCTCGGTCCTCACTCCTCTTTCGATTTTTATTATTGGAATAACAGCACTTCGGACCTCGATCGCATCTTCATCCAGCTCTGGCGACTCGGGTGCTTCAACTGTCAGACCCCAATCATTTACACAGATCTCATCCCCAAGTGCCACAACCATTAAAAATGGTTTGCAGCCCATCTCCAGTCCTCGGCTCACTCTTGGTCAGCTACCTGCTCCGTCGTTTACACCGGACGCAACACCTAACACTATACTCCTTCAAAATGAGTTCAGAACACCTGCTCAGATGCGGAGCAGCAGTCATCAGCTTTATCGCGAAGTCACTCCACAACGTGGCGCTGGTCACACTCCAACACGGAAGACCTATATCTACTTCAAAAACGGAGCGCAGTCGGATTCGGAAACTGAGGAAGAATCTGAAAAGCCCAGCCCACTTGCCAGCGCAGTCTCTCGCGCAACCGGTTGGCTGCGTCGCAGCGTTAATTATGACGATTCCTCCAATACCAACCGTCTCTCCACCGATGCCGGTGCTGCTCACCCTCGCCCTTCGTTTCGGCCTCGCTTTAGCGTTGACTCTCGTGATGAACAGCAATTCCGGGCATCCGATACAGATCACTCAGATACTGAGTGGACTCGTCGTAGACAGTCCTTTCAAAGAACACGTAGTTCACTTGGCGCGTGAGTTTGTTCGAGCGTTTGTTTGCTTTCCATTCTCTTCCCTTTACTTACCAATCGGTTTGCTTATTTCTTACCATGAAATTGCTTTACCTTTATCTGACGATGGGATACTAGTTTACCTTTGATAAGTGGGATCGAGGAACAGGCACTTTGTGCGCTTTAACTATCCAGAATGTCTTCCTGCTCCATTCCAACTCTTTGCCACGAAATGCCACATTGGCTGATTGAGTTGTGCAATTTCATGCATACTGAAGTCCGCCAAACGACCTGCTAAATTATTCTCTTATCCAACATTCATGTCACTCACTGGTGGCAAGTCTATCCACCTTTCTTGAGCAAGGGAGTTGATTATTTACTTAGTAATTTATTTATCATCCACATATCGACGTATTTTGGATTCAGCTGTCTCAACTTACATGGCCGTTAGTAAAACTATTTATGATATAGGAAGCTGAGATAGAGCGAGGGAACGAATGCGAGAGCACTACGGACTACGCAACTATTTGCTTGCTTATTGGGACTCTGCAGCCGCTTCCGAATCAAGCAATCCTCCATGTGTCCGGAAAAGCGCTAGACAGCCGTTTCATCTTATCGGAACTCGTCAGTAGTGCGCTCTATCAGGATCTGAACCCATGACCATTAGGGGATTGCGGCGCTAACCAGCAGCTACACGACTGGGGGGCAACGGTGAACCATCATGACTTACAATACTTACAGGATGAATTGCGCTATATCCCAGTTTGCTTGCAAGTCACGACAGTCAGCTGCCATCAGCCGTGACCTAGTGATATAGTCTGCTGGCTAGTGACTCAAAACGCAAACTGTTCATGGGGTTGCTTCCTGATGTAGTTGAGGGATGCGCATTACTGATATGTCCCAATCGAACGTAACGACCATCTAGTCCCTTTCCGGGTATATGGAAACTATATAATCTGAAACTTACTGCGAAGAACCTCCAATCGCTTACATCAAAAATCCTCAACTCACGAGTATGTCTGATAATCGTTTATGTTAGTGAATTGGTTCATCTCTGACTCTGTCTTTCAGACGATTTTGTTCATCTTACTTTGTACTGTTTTAACTGGCCGCATTTTGCTTTCATGGAGCTTACGGCTGTACAGATGAACATTGCACAGTGAGGCAGTTGGGCAGTTGGCCCACAGAAAACATCACATGGCCATCGTAGGCGACTCGAGTTGGGAAGACAGTTCGATATGGCCCGGTGGGTCTACTATCCAGCCAATCAATCAACCAGCGTCTTTCCTGTATGTACGTACATTCGGTGTTTCCGCCAGTTATAAGCATTGCTTCTTGGGCATCTGTGCTCAAACGTGACCAGTTTCTCAATGTATTTAACTACAGTCTAACATGTCAAAAGAGACCACTCAAGAGAACGACAAAAAGTAGTCACCTTGGACAGGGGGTCGCCATGGACAGGTTCATACACAGGGACATTACTCATAGGAGAAAACGTTGGGGATGTTTTTGGCTAGTCGCCATGGCAGGTTGGACTGCATTACTGTGTAAGGTTTTTGATGAAGCTTTACTGCTTCTTCCCAGTACTTCACAACCCGGATAATATGAATATCAATCCGGAACTGCACGAGTTGGCCGTTTCGCCCTGCTAAGGCTCGTCTGTGGTGCGTGTATCCTCCGACCCCCTTCACGGAACCGAACTCATAACCATTGGCAACTTGCACCAACTAGCCAGCTGTTTATAACATTGAGACACGGGAGACGATGGCAGACCGTCTGAACCTGCAAGCTAACTGGAATATAGTGCAACCCATCCTTCACTACCAGTGATGTGTGGACTGAATCTTGCGACACTGTTATGTATTTTGGAGATGTGGTGCATACGCTGACTCGTACGACATTCTGCATTAGTGTAATCAGCTTCGATTACATAAAGTCTAGGTCCCAACCGAGACGATGTAATTTATCGTATCTATATCCTACATAGCTACTGTGTCGTGTACGTCTCGATCTATGGAGGTCAGCCACTGTCCCCTGCACGGTTGCTAACCTGCGTGACAGTGGGGGATAGGTAACCCTACATTCCACTTAGCTCGCAAACTGTTGACAATTTACCGCTGTTCTCCGTGGCTCAGTAGCATAAGCTCATGGCTAATGGGCACAAACTGCTAACAGTCATGGGTTCGATCCCAGCAGGGGACGGGGTGAATGCGCACCACTGATGAGCCCCAATAGGGCGAAACGCGTCTGGTGCTTATCTAGACTATCGGTTAGACTATCGCGCTTGTGAGATGCTGGGACGATCCTGCGAAGTTTCATCTAAATCCTCCTCATCAGTGATTTATTTGCTTGTTCTAACTTCGTCAGTTCGGCCACTTGGCTGAGCTTCTACTTCTACATTACAGGCACAAGATTGAATAAAATTCAGCAACTAGACCAATTCTGTGGGACCGCCTTCCTCGTGACGAATTCAACACTTAGTCTTCTGTAAACTCTTGCACTGCCATTGGGTTGTATTGTCACATTACTTTAACTCTTCTCTAAAGGCAGGGTATCATCACGACCAGTTGCAATCATAGAACCCAAAACAGTTTTAGTTGTCAGTCAGGATTGTGAGTTTTCTAGATAAAGGCTTTCTACTCTCTCTTTTGGTTACGTTTGCATCTCCCTAACTGATGCTTTTTGCTGTACTCTCCTGATGATAATGGGTACAAGGAGCCGTTATTGATTTTCCTTTGAGGTCTAAGCTTACCCGTGCTATAATCGCAATGTTATCCTTTGACCGGTCACCGGTTCGAATCCGTGTAGGGATGGGTGTCCTCCCGGTTTACTCAGCCCGCGCGCGACTGGTGATGGTCGCGCGGCAGCGAAACACCGTTGCTGAGTACAGCTGACACATTATTCATTTTATTTGACCTCGTCTTTGTTCTTATGTTTCATTGGAGGGGTCATTCAGAGTCATGTGCCGTGCACATAGGTTGCGACACGCGATCCAAAGCTGAACCGTGACTCACATTGAAGCGAGCCATAACTGAAGCAGTTGGCGGCATCCGATTCCGGTTTTGTCTGTCACTGCGGTCTACACGGGGGCAGCCGCAGGATGCCTGGGCCTAAAGGCTTGCGCTGCACCACCCACCCCCTATCCAGTGTAAACCCGAAGGAATAAGATCAGGAGGCAGGTGGATGGGAGCCACGTTTCATCAACGGAGCCGGCCCACACTCCTTCAACAAACAGAGCCGAAGCATTTATGCCTAATTGGAAAACCATGCTTACTAGATGTACACAAGGCGGTGGCTGGGCGGTAGTCCGCTTCACACTAGATGGAATCACTCTTTGAGCGTAGAACGGTCACGGGCACTGTGCACCCCGTTGCCCCAGCAACGATTCACAGTTTCCTGGAGCCAGTAATCTGGGTAGAGTGTGCTAGGCAGGTAGGCACCTTGTCGACATGCATATCAAGCGCAGCCGCGCCAGGGGTCTAAAGCGACTGCCAATCACATGAAATGAAAATATCAAATGAAATAAATCCAATATAGCATACTGATATACAGGTATAGCTCTTGGCTAAATTAGCATGTGAAAGAAATGGATTATCAACAAACCTGCGATAAATCCAAAATGTCAGAAAAAGAGATCAGTAATGCCACAAACGCGAAAAACAGTAACGACCTTTCGTTTAAGCAACATTTACAAGTTAATAGAATATTATTCAGGTAGACATAAAATGAGATAAAAAAGCATTAAGGTAGTAAACCAACCAGCTGAAATAACGAGGCTCAGCATGCAAGCACACAGTTAGTAAATGGAATGGAAGCGCATACAGCGTACCTATCAACTCTACGTCTGTTCTGCTTACATTCAGCAGGATCCGTCGTCGTTTCGATGCTAGACCCGAGTGGCTTCGCTCGTGGCTCAGTGGGCCTGCGTGACTCAGACACTCGCGACCGCATGTGCTACAGCACCATGCGCTCGACATCGTTAGAGTACACTCCATCGGCACCTGTCGCTTCTCCGCATGCGCGAGGGCTTCCTCTTTCACCTCAGCAACTGCCTTCGTGATCAGATCGCGCCATGCACGCCGATCAACCGTCTTCCATTCCCAACACCTGAAATAAATACTAGAACGTGGTAGGCTCACCTTGAACATGTCCTGATAACGAAGCTTTGGTTTCCCTACATACCGCTTCCCCACACTCTGCTGACCACATAACAGCTGCTTCGGTTTCCGCATCGTATCCATTTGCCACACATGACTGAGCCACCTCAAGTATCAGCAAAAGTATGCAGTCCACTGCATACATTTCACTACGGCGCAACACCTCCGTGTCTGTAACTCTGTCGCACCAACCGATACGCAGAATCCGTCGCAGACACTGTTGATGAAACCGCTCGAGATATCTCACATCTCGCCGGTACATCGTCCACGTTTCATTGCCGTATAGAAGAACGGACAGCACCATGGATTTGTAGACCATCAACTTCGTGCCGACGGTAAGCTGGTGCTTGTTCCACATTCGGTACTCAAGCTTCCCGAATGTCGCCGCTGCCTTCGATACGCGGATACGCAGCTCACTGAATATTTGCTAGTCAGTCGAAACCACACTCCCAAAGTAGCAGAAGCGGAAGGTGGTTTCCAATCCTTCATCGCCAGTGCTGATTTGCGGCACCAATGCACTTCCGGTAAAGGCTGAAAGAAATAGACAGTTTTACTTGTGTTGATGGTGAGTTCGAATTTAGCCGCTATCGAAGCCATCGGCGGTTGATTAGGATTCGGGCAATCACCTTGCCCACACAACTCAGCAAGTTAATGCCACGCTAATTCGTTACATGTTGCATGCTTTCTTTGCCTACAATGGTAGTACAACGGCATCCTTCAGCTTAGGCGGCACCTCCTCCTCGACGCACATGCGTTGCACCAAGTGGTGCAGCGCAGTCACCAACGCGGGTCCGCTGTGTTTCAGTACTTCAGGCGGGTTCACATCGGCACCGGCACGCTTGCCGTTTCGCAGCTGAGCACGTGCTG